AAGAAAATATTTCTATTTTAAATAAATGCTCTTCTTTTTAACTTTTTATTCATTAAAGAATCCTGAAAAAAATATCAAGTAGGGTTGGGCGATGTCTACAAAATTGACATCGGACGATGTCTACAGTTAAACATCGCGATGGATGATGACATCGGCGGGGGCGGGGGTGTGCCCGAAGCGTGAACCCTTATAAGGCACGGAAAACAAATAACGATTCCTAACACCATGTCTACACCGGACGCGAGCGGCGCGACAAAATACTATAGAACCACTGATCTATAATAGAGATTCATTATATATAGATCAGTGTATAGAACTTATTATAATCAGTGATGCTGTCTACACTAAATGCGGCGTGACACGACAAATCCCAGACATAGGGCTGTGCAATATTGAAGAAAAATGCGATATGCGATAACTCATTAAATAATGCGATATTCGATATGCGATACGATAATGCTTAAAGTGCCACATGCTCAAATGAAACCGTTTTACTCAGCTGTTGCCGGGTCAGTTATGTGAGCTTCTATAACTATCTTGTGTCATATATATATATATATGGTTATATGTGAGTTCCTGTAAAACCACAACAAATTCCTTGTGGTTGCGCACACTCAAATATTGCAAGCTGTAGCGATATGCATATTGCGATATGTACATTTGTGATATTTCGATAATTTCGATATATTGCACAGCCCTACCCAGACCATAAACTGCTGCCGAGTTCTATTTATGATGTGCTGACACAAATTTCAAATGACTTTCAATGGTCGCTTTGTGGCGTCCAGTGTAGACAGACTTTAGCTGATGCAGCACGGCACTGCGCGACACGACAACTGTCGCGTCCGGTGTAGACTTCAATGACAAACATCTAATCTTGTAAAATGTGTGGCAAGTACTGCTTTATAAACAGAGTATGTGCAATCGCGAATCTCGAAAGTGAAAGTGAAACTAAAAAGAGATCGTGCATTCAAAATCAGTTTCAATGCCAGGTATAATCGCGGCTCCCTGATGCCCGAAATATATGTAGTATAATTACCCAATGATATACTGCGAGGGAAAATATTTAAATATATATTTTCCTCCCATCTTGTATTTATCCCCTTTAGGGGGGGATCACGATGCCGGCTCAACATCGTGATGTCTATCAGCCATCGGCCCAACCCTAATTGAGTTAAATTAAAAAGTCTTACAAAATTATTTAATATTATTTAATAAAATAATAAATAATTATTAAAAAGCATTTTCGGTTTAAGTTTTCGGGCCAAGTGCATCCAGATTTTTCGGTTTCAGCACAGAATTTTCATTTCGGTATATGTATATTAATTCCCAATGATATACGATGCCGGCTCAACATCGTGATGTCTATCAGCCATCGGCCCAACCCTAATTGAGTTAAATTAAAAAGTCTTACAAAATTATTTAATATTATTTAATAAAATAATAAATAATTATTAAAAAGCATTTTCGGTTTAAGTTTTCGGGCCAAGTGCATCCAGATTTTTCGGTTTCAGCACAGAATTTTCATTTCGGTGCATCCCAAAAAAATGTAATTGCGAATTTGCGACTGACTTTTTTTTACCCCGCAACTGCAAGTTTATCTCTCACAATTATGACTTTTCTTTAAAGTCTTTGAAGTTTATATCTTCATATCTTCATTTCTAAATTGTGAGAAAAAAAGTCATAATTGTTAGATAAAAAGTCACAATTACCTTTTTTTTTTTATTCCATGGTGGAAACAGGCTTCCATACATGATGAATCTCAACAAGTTAAAAAAAATAAATAAATAAAAATAATATGGTGAATGTGGGAGAAGTGTAATTTTGAAACATAATTCTTTACCAAACCATTCTCATATAAATGTGTTCAGTCTAGTTCAAACGGACTATTCTACCCATTACTATGTATTTTTATGCATTATGCCATAAGCACAGCAACATGTTACAGCCAAATTCTACTGAAATATCTCTACACACATATAATTAGCATCATGTTATGCTACATATAAATGTGAAAAGTATTTATATTTATTCTTTTGTCAGATACTTTTATACTTATTCATTTTAAATGTATCAAACCTAGCAACACAGTCTATAATTTGAATTTCAGAAGGAGCACTTTTGTTTTGTTCTGTTATAAGTGTAAATCAAATGAATGTCACCCTGTCTGACATATGCCAGCAAATACAGCTATAATTACAACAATTAATCAATCCAAGTTCAGATTGAAAATAATTAAAATGATTGGCTGCTGTTGCAGACGCAGGCAAATGAAATGACGTCATGCCGTGCTGAGGTCTCACGGTATTGGCTAATTGTCTTTGTGACTCAGACCCTTGAGACAGAAGATCTGACCACACTCGCCTCATTCACTAACACTGGGACTAGATGAGAGCTCTAGAGACACTTAAACTAGCCTGTGGTTAATGTCGTCATATGATTTTTCTAAACTATTTTAAAGCAAGACTTTAGACAATTAGACAATGGAGATAAATGGACACGTTCCTCACCATCTATGCCCTTTTTATGAGTATATATATAAAACATAAACTTTATATTTTCAAATCCACAAATGCATTAATGGCATCCTGTTTGCGCCAAAGGAAAAAATTAAAAATAAAATAAAATATTTTTCTCAGAATTGCAACTTTTTTTGACTGACTTTTTCTTTGAATTGTGATTTTACATCTCTCACTTTTTGTTTCCACCACAAAAAAATGTAATTGTGCCAATTTATCTCACAATTCTGACTTTTGAGTTTATATTTGTTGCAAGTTATCATCTCGAAATTCGGACTTTTTTTCTCAGAATTACAATTTATAGTTTATATCTCGCAATTCTGAATTACGAGAAAAAAATGGAGAATTGTGAGACTCTCAGAATTGCAATAAAAACAATCAGAATTGTGAGTTGCAGTTACCGTTTTCATTTGTTTTTTTATTCTGTGGCTGAAACAGGCTATACCATGGAAGCTGATTTTTGCATAGCTGACTTTTGAGTAATAGCATAAAGTCATATTCTGGCCAATAACCACCCACTTGTACAGGAAGAGGCCGCTTGACCTACAAAACATGCATACCAGTTACCAGTTTAAGCGTTTTTCTCTGAATAATGTGAGTTCTGTACTCATTAAAGTAATGCTTTATTCAGAACCTGGCTGATTTTAATAGCCTGAGTCACCTGCTTAGTCCTTAGACTGAAAACAACAGAGATCCACCACAATGAACACAAAGCAAATATAGTCTGAATACACAAAATGCAGATTACAGATATACAACGTAAGGAACATTGAGAGTCTGCAATCTCCTTTTTAAGGCAGTTATGCACATATATTCTTCATTGAGAAGGCTAAAGCAGAATGTAGTGCTGACTCTGTGCCACACACACACACACAATAACTGATACATCTGTTTGGTCTGACCTGGTCATCCAATTTGTGGGCTATAATAGTGGCTCCTTCCTCCAGTTCAGCATCACTCAATGGCCGAATCCGCAGAGCCACCTGCAAAACAATAAAAAAGGTAATGCACTGGTCTCAAAAAGTATTTGAACCCTAATATATATTTAAAAAGCACAAATGTCATTGCACTAAATTGCATTAAAACCCTAATATTTAAAATATTTGAAATTAAAATATTATAATATTTAAAAAGCACAAATGTCATTGCATTAAATACAATATTAAACCAAATGGCATTTATTTAAAAGAAAGACAGCACAATCATATTTTTTTCAGGAAAAATATTTTATAAAACATATGTTTTATTTTATCATTATGTTTTTTGTTACTGTATTGTTTTATTGTTTCATTTTATCATGTTTTAAATGCTAAAATAATTGATATACTGTTCATATTAGGCTAAGTCTTAAAACTATGAGGATACTTTATAAATTTCAAGTAATATTTTGTATCAAATGCAAGTTTAACTGCATGTGGCTTAATTGTCACTGTACTGTATTATATACTATAATAACAAAAATATATAAATAACAAAAATACAGCTCCTTTGGTAGTCAGAACTTGATTGAATAAGAAGGTGACATGTTTCGACAGACTCAAGAATATTTAGTGATATATAGGGGCAGTGATTGCTCTGTTCTTGGGAGATAAAAGACAGCAGCAGGTTACATTTATCAAATGTGAGCACAATACTCTCACTAATTTGTATTTAAAGGGCATTTCCGTTTGAGTCAGCTGGCCTGCAGGAGAATCGGTTTGCACATAACCACACAGTTTTTTGTGTAGAAATAAACACTGACGGGTCACAGTGCAGCGATGCAGCTCTGCAATCTAGATAGTTAATTACGCAATAGGAATATTATAGCTGGAGGTTATTATTGCTTGTAGAGCAACAAATGCTATCCAAACATTTAACATGCTTAATGGGATGCGGCAAAACCAGTTCTGTTGATCACAGCACATACTTGCATAAAGTCACTGCAAATGGGAAATTTTGCAATATTTTTGTCATTATTATTATTATTATTAATTTTATAATCATATAGAAAATGGCCTAGAAAAGGCACATGTTGATGATGTCTTACAGTGGAAGAAGAGAAAGGGAACTTAAACTGCCGCTGTGAATTATTGAGAGGGGGCAAAAGATCACTAGAAAACAGGTATTAAGCTCCCAGAGAATCTAAATATAACAAGTGTAGACTGTCAGACTGAAATCTGTCTGGGGTTTTAAGTAGACAAGCTGTCGGGGAATGAAATGTGACTATAGAAGTGAATGAAATCCACTTTTTTATTTCTATACATACACATTTATTTATATGAACTCATGTATTTCTACCACATATTTGCATATAAAGTTATTGACTAAACACAGTTGAAATACTGACATGTGCATGCTTATATGCAGAAATCACCTCAATAAATAAATATATACATACACATGCATAATTGATGGATAGTGTGTCCATATTTAGATTTAGACTGAATAACTGAACATGTATTTAGATTCTATAACTGATTGCAATAATCTATTAATTTGTTTCACAACTTCTAACCATCTTTTTTGCCTCACAAGTTCATTTTACATGGTTCTGCGGTGTAAGAAATTAATTTTAAAATTAAGTTTAGATAAAGTTTAGCATGTCCACCACATGACTTGTCAACTATACCCACATACATAAAAAACGTACTTATTTACTGCATAGTCTGTAATAAAAAAAAACTGTAAAGTTGCAAGATATGCAGATAAAATATGAGCTAACTATATCTCATAATACAAATACTTTATATATGCTAATTATAATGACACAAGTGCATCAGAATGCATATACGCTATATAATAGTTCACATAGACATAGCATAAATTATTATTGGTTGAAACAAAGTTTACAACTACAGAGTGTTGTTAGAATATAAGCTATAGCTATATTTGATGATACACACAAACGCATATTTAAATACAGTCTCCAATTTACACGAATACATACACATATTTGGCTCAACAGTCTACTATAGACACTAAGTCAGTGGACTTACAGTCAGTTGATGATCCTTTGATTCTCCAGTGTCCTTCATCGTGATGTTTTGCGGGACGCTTTCACGGCTATTAGTAAACTAAAACATGCGCGTGAAGAGAGCACAACAGACGCCGCACGGTCATGATTCACGGAGCAATTCACCTGCGCTTCTGTCTCTAAGATTCTAAAACACACTGAGCGATCACACACTGGTAGCGAGCGTCTCTTAAACGCCCGTGAACTCCTCCAGGTCCATGTCTGAGCGGGATGCGTGTTTCTCCACCCACAGTACACCCGTGAGTGAGTGAGTGAGTGAGTGAGTGTGTTGTGTTTGTGATGTCCCTAGAGATGAGCAGTGCAGTGCGCACTGAGACGCGTCCTTCACCGCCGCTGATGCTTCTTCACTCAGGTGCACAGAGATTCTCAGACTCTGAGGCTGCAGCGAAACCTGCTGGTCAGGAATTGTACTGCAGCGTTCTTCATTTGATTCAATATTGTTAGTCCTGTCTTATGTGTCTAATTTCATAAAATAAAGAAATAATTAAAAAAAAATATATATATATATATAAACTATTATACTTTTTAAATAATTAATATTATAGTATATTAATTATTGTTCTATATTAATATAAATACATATAATTATTGTGTATGATATATTATTTAATTATTATATATTGATATAAATAATATTGTTTGGGTTATATTTTTAAAATTAAAAAAATAATAATAAAGTCAGCTTATTTTAAATATTCTTTTGATAATAATTGTACATTTTTTTACAATAATTGTAGCCTTTTAATAAGAATTTCATCATTTGAAAACCATGATGTTCCTATGCCCCTCGAATTACAAACAAACAAATAAACAAATAACTGAAAAAAAAAAAAATTCATAATAATATTAGAGGTCTGCTCAGGGTCCATTTTCTGCATTTCTTTTTTATTAGATTTTATTGTCACGTTATCGACCTATTCACACAATACCAGTATTTTAAAATCTTAAGACACATGTGGAAGGATATAATGACAAATATAATCAAACAATAGTGAATATTTACAGTTAGCTGTTATGAACATTATATATATATATTTATATATTTTACAAAAAAATTAAGTCGCTACCAGTTTCACAATTCCATTTCAGACAACCTCTAATGCTATTTTGAGGATATGAAAGATGAGTGAATGTCTGAAACAACACTGACAACTGTTGGAATAATTGCAATAATCACACATAATTAAACATGCTAAATGTATTTTATTTAATTAGTCACTTATATGACATAAGAAAAACAATAAACAGTCAGTTGCATTGATTCCTTAAAGTCAACATGAAATCACCAATCTACTTTCTTAATGCACATTCCTGGTCAAGTCAAGTTCATTTGTATAGCACTTCTTTTTTTTTTACAATACATCTTGTTTCAAAGCAGCTTTACAGAGTTCTTGGTCATAATGTGAAACTCCAGTCCACTTCTGGTATTTAATGCCCATTTTACACAATCCAGTTTGTTCATGATAAATAAAAGAATATCCCATTTCACTCAGAAATACATCAAATTATGGAAGTAAAATGGGTTGCGAACATGATCTGAGTATGAGACCAGCTCAGTGTTGGCAATCTACAGAGAGATTTCTCTTCTTGTAAAGGAAGAAACACCATTAGTTTCATGCTCCTCCTGGAACCCTTTCTCTTCACACACACCTTTCTCCTGAAGGGAATAAGAAAAGACAGATCAAAAACTATGAGACCATCCAAACTACTTTTTTGTCCAATTAATTGCCTATAGAAATCATGCTAGACACATAAAACAAACCTAATTACAAACCCCCTCTTTATTTTCAAATAACTTGGGTCCTTGAAAAGGCCAAAACCATTAATCGCATGAGCCTTTGAGTAGACAAGCCTATAGCAATACACTTCTGATGGTCACGCGAGCTCAAATGCCTCCTCACCAATCACAGAGGAGCATAAAGCATTCTGGGTATAGACGAAGTAGACTTTATTGATTTTTCTTTCTTTGTCTTTCACAATAGAGCTTTTTCAACCCAGCTACCAGGGTTATATATAGAGCTCGGGACCCTTATCTTATTGCAGCAACAGTCCAAACATGGGGTGTAATTTGTTTAAGCTCCACAAAGGGGGGCAATTTCATTTGACAGGCTCTTCTGAAACAACACATATGACAACAGCCATCAAAACACACAGATGTGTGGTTAAAAACCTTGATTAAAGGGTTTAGACGTCAGATCTGATGTTCAAAACATTAGAGTAAACATGTTAACTCTAGAAGCAGAACATCCTATACCTTATCTCGTTGTTTCTCCTCGTTCCTCTCTTTCTTCTTCTCGGCTTCCATGATTTCGAAGAACTCCCTCTCTGCACAGGCCACCAGCTCTTCTGCACTCTCCTCCCCGTCTGTCTCTTTGCCCTCGTCCTCTCGGCTCTGCTCGGAGCGGCTGCGTTCCTTCAGACGCATCTCTCTGTGCCGTGCTTCCAGAATCTTCTCCCGCTTGGTCTCGCGTTCAAACATCTGCAAAAATACACAAGTTCAGTGTATGACAGATGGATGTACAATATATTCAAAGTTATTTTTTACATCCATTTAGGTGTAAAAGGGAGATTCTTCAGTTAGGTGAACTTTTCTTTTCCCTAGTATGATTTGAAAAATGCTTGAAACATTCTAGTTTTATATTACAAATAGTTTAAAAAAAAATTTGCATTGTTTTTTTATTGTGTAAATTACTTTGTCCTCATTGGACAAAATGTTAGATTGGCCAGATTTATGTATTTATTTTTTTACAAAGGCATTTACAATGTTACTTTTTTTTTTTTTTCAAATAAATGTTCTTCTGAACAAAGAATCGTGAACAAAATGTATTATGGTTTCAACAAAAAAATATGAAGCGCACACAACTGTTTTCAATGTTGACAATAAGTAGAAATATTTCTTGTGCACCAAATCAGCATATTAGAATGATTTCTGAAAGATTATGTGACACTGAAGACTGGAGTAATGATGCTGAAAATTCAACTTTGCCATAACAATGTTTTAAAATGTATTAAAATATATTAGTTATTTTAAATTGTAATAATATTTCACAATAGTACTGTTTTTACAACAAATGCAGCCTTGGTCACTTTTGAATAGCATTATATAATGTATACTTTACTATGGAATATAAAGAAATCTTTATGTTGCACATGTTCAGGTGTGTTTGTGTCTGACCTCTGAGACCATGGCCTTCTCGTTCTTCTGCAGTGTGCACAGGCCTGCTGAAATCTCCAGCAGTGTGGTGGTTCCCAGCTGAGAGCCACAGCCCAGGAAGCGGCCGTTATCTTGCACCCGGATGCTGCACATGGCTTCATCACAAACCTGTGAGGAAAAACACACACACACACACACATTGTGAATATTTCTTAACAGATAACGCTGAGATATTGGACTGTGAGATAGATTCAGTACAAGGGGGAGGCATTAAGGACCAACTTTGAGGCTGAGAGTGGGGTCGTTCTGTTTAAACAAGATGTCCCACACGTCCAAGGTGCCGTCCATCTTTAGTGTAAAGAAAACCGAGGGTCTGACTGGACTCCAACAGCCATCTAACAGATGGGCCATGTGATACCTGTAGAAACAGATTAGAAATACTGGCACCTGTGCACGTTACATCTACACTACCATTTAACAGCTGGTAAGATTTGTAAATGTTTTTGAAAGTCTCTTATGCTCAAGGCTGCATTTATTTAACCAAAAATACAGTAAAAACTAATTTTATAATGCTGTATTTGAGCAACAAAACTGAAGTTACTTGGTCCACATGATGGAGGACTCCTTGATATCCTCCGACCAGATGCGGGCGGTCCAGTCAGCAACAGTCAAGAAGTTCTTAGGAAAAAATGGGTTCCTCTGCAGGGCATAAATGGGACCGTGGTGTCCGCTGTATGTGCATACAATCTTCTCAGCAGGGGTTTTTGCTTTGCGATTGCATGAAACCACAAGACCCTGCTCTGTGCCCACCATGAACTTAGTGGGCTTGTGTAATCAAAAACAAAGGATGTTTTAAGTTCTCAACATCTATTTCTACAAAATTTCTTCTTGCAGTGAGCCAAGAAAACTAAGGACAGCTCTTACCATAGTGGTCTCAAACTCCAGCGAGACTACACCAAGGGCATTGTCAAGGTTGCCCTTTTTACTAGGGTCCAGTACGAGTCTCTCAGTGGGCTCACTCATCTTCCGAATGTCCCACCAGAGTACCTGGTGTCAGATGCATGAGTGTCTTTTATCTCTGTTGGCTTCATTAGCATGCAGTGCAAGTCTCAGTGAAAGATTGTGTGGTTTATTACTTTAGTTTTAGACTTGTGTCTTTGCACACAGACCTGGCCATCTGTAGAAGCCGAGAAGATGTCCGTGCCTGTCTTCGACTGCAGCCAGATGACTTTGTAGACAGGATCTCTATGGCTGTGTTCGATGGTGGACATCTCTGCTGGCTGGCTGCCCTTACGAGTGTCCCAATATGCTGGAAATGGGTTAAATAACAAGGTGGTCATGCATAACTTTAAAAAAAAAAAAAAAAAAAAAAAAAAAAAAAAAAAAAAAATATAACATATATGTTTATATAACTGTGTAGCATATACTGTACAGCTTACCATATATATATATATATATATATATATATATATATATACACAAGGTTATTCATGTACATTTACACAAATTCATCTACAGATGCCATTCCAAAGTACATACTCTTTTCATCTTTGCATTCAGTGCCATATACTATTAGTCTAGCTATGCAGACAAGGTCAAAGGTACTTTTTTCCATTAACCATAATTTATTGAGAACTAAAGATGCACAGAGCGACTGAGGCCAATGTAATTACACCACTAAAAGAGTTCAGATGGTCATAAGTGTTTTGGTTGCTGGAATGGAACATGATTAATTGTGCATCCAGAGAGGCACTCAGGTGATAAAACCCACCGATTTGTCCATTGTAGCTTCCCCCAACAAGAATGTGTGAATCTTTTGGGTTGTACTCCAGACATACAAGTGGAGATACAGGTCTCAGTGTCATTTCAGGTTTATTGGGATTTTCTGAAAGTAAAAAAACATATTTTTGTTCTTGCTATATGTGGCACATGACTTGTTTTGTTATATCACAAAAAAGCGCTGTTCTTATGTTATACCAATGTCCCATATGTAGGAGTCGAAGCTCATGTCATTGGGTGCTCTTTGAAACTCCAGGGAAGAGTAGGCGACAGCAAGTTTATGGTTGCCAAAAGATTGTGTGGTTTATTACTTTAGTTTTAGACTTGTGTCTTTGCACACAGACCTGGCCATCTGTAGAAGCCGAGAAGATGTCCGTGCCTGTCTTCGACTGCAGCCAGATGACTTT